AATATAAATTTAAAAAATTTAGATTTATAATATGAGTATTTAAATCATATTAATAAAGATTATATTATAAAAATACTAAATCTAAAAGATTTTAAAATAGATTTAAATTATTATAAAGTCTATATATATAGTAAAATAATTCAAAATATTAGTAAATTCCTATTGAATTTGAAATTAAATAAATTCAATAAAATTAGTATTAATATTTATAAATTATTTAAAATATTAGAATTAAAAAAAAAATTTATTATTTTTATTAATTGGGCTATATAAGGTATATGGGTATATTCTATAAAATTTAAATTAGATATTTTAATATATTAAAAAAAGTATTTTATTTAATATATAATTAATTTAATATTAAAATGAAAATAATAAAATTAGATAATATAAAAGAATTTAATTCTAATTAATGGAATTTATTTATTAAATCTAAAGAAATTATATTAAAATATATTAAATTCTTATTATTATTTTTAAAATAAAATAATTAAAAAATTAAACAAATGTTAATAAAAAGAATATTATATTGTATAAAGATAAAATCTATTAATATTTTTATAATTTAATATATAACAGGTATAGTTTATATTAAAAACAGATATTATAATAAAATTATAAATAGTTCACCCTGTAAAATTATTATTTAATAAAGAAGTTAATAGCAATTCTATGTAAAATGTTAGAATTTTTTATATATATTAAAATATTAAAAAAGAAATTATAAATTGATTATAAATAAGAAAAGGAATTTAGTAGAATTTAAATCATCAAAGAATTTATTATTTAGATATTAAATCGAATAAAAGAATAAATTCTAATAATTTTATTATTAAGAAGATATGATTTATTATAATAATTATATTAAAAACAATTTTACTAAAAAGGACCTATTAAAAGAATTTGATAAAAACCCTAATAATATGAAGATTAAGAAGAAGAGGTAGATATATATAATAATAATATATAAAGATTTAAATAAAAAATTTTAATTTTAAATAGTTTTAATATTAATAAAAGCAGATTAATAATTGAAATATTATTTAATTCTAATTTATTTATCTCTATTAAATAATCTAAGTATATACAAGGGGTAGAATTATATTAAATATATATAATCTCATTTATTTATAATATATAAAACTAGAAAATCAAGATTATAAATTTAAATTAAATAATATTAATAACAATCAATATAAAAAGAATTATTATTATATTTTAGTATAAAAATTAAGGAAAAAAAAATAATAAAAAGGTTTTATAACAAAATTTAATAACTCTTAAAATATATTTATAAGCTATAAATTCTAATCAAAAGAAAATTAGGAAAAAACTATAAATTATAAAATAAAAACCCTAAAAAAGAATAATATATGAACTATTATTAAAAGAATAATAATAATATTAAAGAATTAAATATATTAAAAACTAAATAAATATATAAAATTAAATATTTATCTAATGATAATATTAAATTTAAAATTAGATATATAGCTAAAGGATTTAAACAATTATATGAATTAAATTATTTAAATACTTTTGCTAGTATAATAAAACAAATAACCTAGAAATTAATATTTATATTAATAATAAATAAAGAATAATTTATATATAAAATAGATATGGTATTAGTTTTTGTATAGAAGAATATTAATAAAAATATATATATTAAAATTTTTGAAATATATTAAAATAAAGATATAATATTAAAACTAAATAAAGCTCTATATAAATTAAAATAATTTGCTAGAATATAATATATTATATTAAAAAGTATATTAAATAAATTAAATTTTATTAATATAAAATTAGATGAATGTATATTTATAAATAAATATTCGAAATTAATATTAAATATATTTATTAATAATATTATTATTATAAATTCTAACAAGATTTTAATTAAGAATTTTATAAAAATCTTAAAAACTATTTAAATCTAAAAGATTTAGGTTTAATAAAAACTATTTAAATATTTAAATAAATCTAAATAATGATTTTATTAAATTATATTAAAAAGAATATATAATAAATATCTAAAAGATTTAAAATTAAAAGATTGTATTCCTGTAGCTATACCTATAATTATTAAAAATAATATTAAAATAAATCTAAATAAAGCCAATTTAAATAAAATAAAATAAGTTTAAAAGTAATAGGGAAATTATTTTATTTAGTTTTAGGAATTAAATAGAATATTATTTATTTTATATTAAAATTAGTAAGATATATGTTTAATCCTAGTAAAGATTATTTAGTGGTTATGAAAAGAATATTTAGATATTTAAAAAGAATTGAAACTTTAAAAATAATATATAAAAAGAATTATAAAAACTATATAAAAGGATATTGCGATGTGGATTATACAGGAAATAAAAGTTTTATTAATTTATTAATAAATATATATTTTTATTCACTAATGGATTAATAAGTTGGAGAATTAACTACACATCTATATAATATAAAATATAATAAATCCAAGCTTTTTCATAATTTGTTGTTGGAAAAGCTATATATTTAAAGTATATTTCTGGCTTAATCCATCTCAACAAAGATTCCTCTTATATCGATACTATACTTAGTTAAACTATATCTGCACATCCTATATATTGAGCAAAGTAAATTATCTTAAATATTCTTAGAACGATTTTTATTTTTTCGATTTTTGGCTTTCAACCGCAACCATTAGTTAATGGTTTAATTCATTATTAACAAGACTCAATTATCAAGATTTTGACTATATCAAATTTATAATAATTCTTACAACATTTCATGATTTATATACACATTAGACTCGCTTTCCTCTCAGTAGGTTTTTACCAGTAATATCTATATAGATAGTCATCCTCTTTTTCTCTAAAAGGTTTTTAATGCGATTATATTTATATATATTTATATAAAGACGGTATATATTAAAGGGGACTATGTTTTTATATAAAAAATAATAATACATCTTTTTATATATCTATATATATATATATACATTTCTATCTTTATATACTATACTAAGAGCGAGTTATAGGATCATATGATCAATCAGTGATTGTTGTTTATAAGCTTCTGAAAGCAATTATACAAAAACGATTGTATTAGTTTTTCGAAAACAATTATTATTAGTTTTCGAAAATAATTATATTAGATTCCGAAAACGATTATTAATAAAGAATAAAAAAAGGAGCTTTATTTTAAAGGAATAATTAGATTAGGAAAGAATCTATAAGAGATAAATGAAAGCGGAAGTTAGATTAGAATAGAAAAGGTATATAATATAGGCTTTTTCCTTCTTAATATAGGATAAGAAATTCAATATTACAATATAGATTCCTAAATATTATATGTTTTTATTACTTTTTAGTTGTTAAATTAAGCCAGCTTTCTATAATAGATTAATATTAGTCTAATCCCTTTTATATTCTATATATACTCTATACCCATATACCTGCTCATGACCTACGATAAAATACATATGTATAAATACATATATATAAATATATATATATAAATACATATATATATACCTACCCAGCTAGCTAACTAGCTATATCATCATTATAAATCCGAATCTCCTCATCTCATCTCATCTCAAAACCTTATTTTAAAAACTAACCTATCTATATACTCACCTACCCAGCTACTCAGATCCCTAAATACCTATTATAATCAATCCAAATCTCCCATCTCATCCCATCCCATCTCATCTCATCTCAAACCTCACTCAAAAAAAAAAAAAAAACTCACAAACTAGATACACATTATATCAAATCTATATAAAATAATACTCTAGATGATATATCTACCTAACTATCTAACTACCTACCTAATCATCCCCTACTCATCCCCTACTCAAATTCCCAAATCCCCAAATTGCTATTCTCTCTCCTCTTCTCTCCAACTCAAAAGAAAATACTCAGTTCAGGTTTTATACCTATATATATATACATACAAAGAAAAACTCTATATGTACAACTTAGAAACCTAGAAACCTAGAAACCTAGAAACCTAGAAACCTAGAAACCTAGAAACCTAGAAACCTAGAAACCTAGAAACCTAGAAACCTAGAAACCTAGAAACCTAGAAACCTAGATAATTCTAGAAATCAAACATCTTCTTTCAATATAAATTTAATTTAATATACAATACTCATCTACTTATTATTTATTAAATTTTTATTTATATATAAATATTTTTCTATAATATACATACTATCTCTTTTCTTTCTTTTCAGCTTCGGCTTTTTATTATTTGTTATTACTTCTTCTTTAGGGACTTACAAACTTATATTATAAACCTATAAATCTATAAATCTATAAATCTATAAACCTAGAAATCTAAAAACCTAGAAACCTAGAAACCTAAAAACCTAAAAACCTAGAAACCTATAAACCTATAAACCTATAAACCTATAAACCTATAAACCTATAAACCTATAAACCTATAAACCTATAAACCTATAAACCTATAAACCTATAAACCTATAAACCTATAAACCTATAAACCTATAAACCTATAAACCCAATTGATACATCATAATCATCCTGAATCCCTCCTTCAACTTTATTTTCGAATTCATTACTTACCCTCCCCCTCACCCCCACCCCATTCCTTACACCCATCATCACACATCATACCTCTATCATCTCTCATCCAGATCTCCCATCCAGATCTCTCCCACCCCCAACAAAAATACATTCATCAAAACACCTACCCACCCAGCTGCCTCTATTCCAATCAAACAACCTATACTCCAAGCTTCTCCCCCCGTCCCCCCTACTACTTCCATCCTCATTCATCACCCATCACCCATCACCCATCTCCAACCTCCATCCAAGTTCAATTTCAAATTCAATTTCAACTTCCCATCAACTTCCTCCTCACCAAACATCTCTCCCCTCCCTACAATATCTAAACAAAACTCACATCACATCACATCACATCAAATCCCATCCCATCCATACAACTCCAGCCTTTTCACCTTGACTTTCTCCCCCATCTACCCCAGATTAATAATTATCCTCCCCTTTCTCCTTCTCCTTCTCCTTCTCCTTCTCCTTCTCCTTCTCCTTCTCCTTCTCCTTCTCCTTCTCCCTCCTTCTCCCTCCTTCTCCCTCCTTCTCCCTCCTTCTCCCTCCTTCTCCCTCCTTCTCCCTCCTTCTCCCTCCTTCTCCCTCCTTCTCCCTCCTTCTCCCTCCTTCTCCCTCCTTCTCCCCCCCTCCTCCTCCTCCTCCTCTCTCCATCTTCCACCTCCCACTTCTCATCTTCTTTCCCCACCACCCAACAACCCAACAAATACCTCACCCACCTACCCCTCCCTCCTCTCAAAAAACCCTTCACACAAACAATCAACACTACAACTCCCCAAGTTAGCACATCCCCTCACCCCCTCCCATCCGCACATGCCATCCACCCATCCACCCATCCACCCAACAATCCAAACAACAAACCAAATCAAAATTCACCAATCCCTACACAATTCCCCATCAAACCCTCCCAACCTCACCCTGACACCTCCATTTCCACTCTCCACCGCCCAAATCACAAAAGACTCAAGTACCTATATATCATTCATCAATACATTCATCCACATTCATTCACATTCATTCACATTCCACTCACATTCCACTCACAACCCTACTTATTAAATACCCAAGTAGCATATATAGGGAGGTAACATTAACTGATTTTCGCTGTAACTCGCTGACTGATGTTTTCATTTACTTTGAACACCCGTATCATTCATTCATGCACACTTCTATGCCCGCTCAATTCTTCCCATTTATGCTCCCTTACTTAGCCGCACTTGACTTTCCATCCCAATTATGATCAAGCCCGCCTGCCCATTCACCATCACATCACATCCAATCCTCAAGCTATTCATTCATTTTAGTCATCAAATGCTCCCAATGACCAATTGCGATATGTTACATTCTGCCCTTTATTTCCCCTTACCTTCTTTCCCATCTCCACTCCCTCCCATGTCCCATCACCGGCTCATCCCGTATAAGTATCTCCTTCTCGTCTAGAGAACTAAATCTTCTTGAAGTGATGTGCGAAGTTATGAGTTAGGTATCCGCGGTATCAAAAAAAAAAGAAAAAGACAAAAAAAAAAAAGAAACCTTGATTGTAAAACACAAAACTGTGTTTCCACAACAAACAACCAATAGCTTTCTCGCAACTCCTCCCTCCCTCCCAGATATGTCCCAAAGAATTGGTCAAGAGTGGCACCAGTAACACAACGAATGAAAACGATAAAAAATATGCATCAATACGCCTAATTATTGCCCCTTCATCCATTGACTATGATCAAAGGGTGGCCAGCAGGTAAATACTACCAGTTTCTCTCCCCAAATCTTAAGTGTGGGCTGGTAACTTTTATAATCAACTTCAGTAAGCCGCAAATTCATAAAAGGTCATCCATCATGAATCCCTAATGCAAGAGACTCTGTTAAATAAAAGGCTTATGGATCATGCAAGATATCCAAGCTCATCATCGTCGAGTCGCTCTAGATATTCTTTCTCCAGTAAGATATCAATACACTTCTTGATATCTGGAACCTTTGGTGAGAATCGGGTGCGAATTTGACTGATGGTCTCGGCAACAAGAACGCTGTGCTTCATCTTCTTTCGTGCCTTCATGATACGAACAATGGCAGACTAAAAGATAAGTTAGTGGGATTTCATCTATACTACACACGCGATTTCTACATACCTGCATGAGCAGCTTTCTGTCTTCCTCAATAGTCTTGTGAGTCTCATCAACCTCTTGCTTTTGCTCCGACTTGATAGCGATATTAAGATTGACACGAATCTTCTTGCTCTTGAAATCATAGTTCAAGTTAAAGGTTTTGCCAGGTCCTGGCTTATCATCTGCTGGACTCATAGTGAGGACCTTGGATTTCAAGAAAATAGCAAGGGTGGGATCAAGGATATCAGCCTGTAATTGAGTTGCCTTGGCGATATCTTCATAGCTATTCTTATCGCTCTCGTTAAACAACAAAAGGATGGCCATTTGATAAGTCGAAACCTGGAAAGTATATGGAGTCTTTTGGTTTTTACAATAGTTGGCCTTGATCTCGCCCTTGCACAATTGCCAAAGCCACGTGAGTTTTCTACCACTGTGCTTCTGGTTGTAGAAATTTTGGAATCGCTCATAGGCCTTGGAAATTTCCACTGGTGGTGTGAAATCTGTATTTGGTGGATTCAAAGGCCACATACCCGTACCCAGAATTGAGTAACTAGCATCGATTGGCTTTTCTTCGCCTCCAGTAAAGATTCCTCCCTCAAATTCCTTGAAGCCGCTATTCAAATCCTTCGAGATTTGAATGTCCTGGAACATACGTTGAAGCTTGTTGGTATATTCGAATCCACATGCTTCCTTCAACTTGCTGATCATGCTCGTCTCAGCATCATCTGACGAAGAACTGGTGTGAACCAATCTACGAGCAAGCATACGCGAGTAGAACTTCTGGAACACATCCTTGTCTTCAATATACTTGAAGACTGTCATAATTTGGGTAAGAGAGTTCTCGATATCACTCTCCTCAGCTCCACTGGCACTCTTCTTCAATAACGAATCGGCATATTTGGCGAGCAATTCAGGGGATTTGTTGGACCCAGATTTGCAGATTTTATTGCGGTTCACAAACTCCTTGCATGCGTTATCAAGAGACCTAGTAAACTCGGGCTCATCCTTGAATGCTTGTTTTACAAGACCTGAATATTGTGTGTGAATCTCGAGAAGAGCATCCACATAAACCTTAGGTTCGAGCTTATCACCCTCACTAGCGACTTTTGCTGCTGATGCAAGACCGGCGTTACGAACATGAGCCTCGAATCTGGTACGGAGTGGTTCAAGACCATCTGGAATTCTTGCCAGCAAGTTGTACATGCGTGCCATATCGTCATATCGATCATTATCCAAAAGAACCTGAAACTCGTCTCGAAGAAGTACGGAGTGGTCTGCAATAAGAGCAGTGTTGCAGGCTTTCTTCAATGGAATGATGATGTCCTGGTGTAGATACATTCTAACTCGCTCTTCCTCTTCTGCCAATCGAATTTCGGCCTTCTTCATGTATTCTACTATACTATTTTCCGCGACAAATTCTTTTGATTCCGTTCGGTAGAAAGCTTCGGTGGCTTCTAAAAATGGCTTCTCAAAGTGGAAACGGTAAACATCGAGGGTCGATTTAGTAGGATCCGATTCATCCAACCCAAGTGATACGAAAGAATCAACAATGGCCTTGATCTGGTTATGCTCGATAGTCTCTCCATTTCTTTGCCTCTCAACCATCTTGAGAACAGCATCCATAACCTTTGAGTGGACAGCTGTGAACAGGGTTTCTCTCCATTGAACAAGGTGTAGAGTGTAAACATCGTAAATGTTCTTTTTTCCCTCGTCCATTTCTCGCTTTACCCAATGACGATTAAGGTATCGGAACAAGTGGTTGACATATTTTGCTGCTGTCGTGTATCTATCCCATTCCCGAATATAGAAACTAAGGAGAGCTTCGTCGCTATGTGTCTTAGAGGCGAGAACGAGTTCCTTGAGATACTGTGTTAGGTATTTGATGAGGTTTTTGTATAGATCTTCACCCAGAAGGTGTGCTGTAAATACAGAATCAGTACATATGTTTTAAATTTGGATTGGTACAAGGTCCCACCTCCGCGATGCGCACCTCCGATTACTCCTGGGCCATGGTTGCTGACTGCCTTTTGTGATGTACAGAAATTATGCACAGCTCTATTTCAGGTTAGATGATGCTGCCAAGGTGTGTGTTTGGAATACGTACGTGTATACTCCCATATACTATAGATAGAAAGCAAGTCAGTAATTGCGCGTAAGAGCTGAAGAGAGTTGGAGGAGTGGCACCTACAGTATTCATATCGACACCATCTGCCAATTGTAACATGACTTTTGATACTCCAGCCTCGAGGTATTTCCATCTAAATCGCAAGAATTTGTAATTAGCATATCGAATCAAGTAAGGTCGAGGGGGGAGGTGGCAGAGAGAAAAGATCCAGTACGAACGTCGCATCTAAGTCCTCCCGATTGGGGACAGGAGGCATAACGACCACCGTCCTGGTAGCGACCGTCATCTTGAGTAAAGTTCAATGGAAGTGGTAAAGAGAAAAGATCGTATGTTTTGAAATGGATTCAAACTGGTATAAGGAACTGATGGATTTAAGCCAGCAGCTGGAAGGAATGTAGGTTCGGGACTGTAAGTAAGATTATGAAAATGGAGATGATCAAATGAGCACCTTTGTGATAAATCACAGAATACGATGCAAAAGGTGCTCCAGATCCTGGAAGTTGTCAAGGTGGAAGTGAAAGTTGAGGTTGAGGTTGTGATTGTGGTGAGAGTGTTGTAGATCGAAGTGGTTGTGTTGGAAAGATGATGTAGAGGATATTTATTAAAGGGTATACTGCCCACAACGTGAACTAGAGGGAAAGAACACGCTAGAAAGTTGAACCCGTACAATAATTGACGGTCAGATTTCTTAAATCTCCCCAATAGAATATATGAGTAGATGTCAAAAGGGTGAATGTGTACGAAGTTTCCCTTTTCCCTTTTTCCTTGAAGTCTTGAGTAAGGATGAATTCGTGATTCAGTTGTATGATAGCAGGCTGCCGTGCACTTTCTATAAGCAGTATGCATGCATGCCTGAGGCTGTAAGAATTTTACCGCCAAACACAGGGCTATGGAGTTACGGCAGGCGTCAAAAACAGCCAGGAGTTTGAGATTCGAAGCGCCAAATTGTGCTCTGTATTGATAAAGCTCCCGAAGTCCGAGACTTCAAAGGTCTTGATAACCGATAAGAATGTTGACTAAGCAAGCTGTAGTCAATTATTAGACATAATGCAATCACTACACAGCAAGCAACTTCATAAATATATTCACAGCATTACATAGCATATATCATTCCTAGAAACTTCAAAGGAAGCAAGTTCTTCATAAACACATACAGTATTTTTACTGGACATCCTGAAAGTTCAAGGTTCTTGTACAATATGACATACCTATCAAAATTAGCAGACCCCTCCTTTTACCCCTCATTCCAAAGCCCACTCGAGCCCGAGTTCGTAGGTAGGCAGGCATTCAGATGAACTACCAGATAAATCTTCACATCCCTTCTACATCAGTCAATCTTTTCTTTCACCGAGTACGTGTATTTTAACATCTCAATTCTACTTCAGATACTATTTCGGTTCAGTATAGATAAAACATCCAAAGTATTCGTACTGATTTGTAATTTCTTTAACGAAAGTGACATCATTGCTATTACCTAGGTAGACACTAGTCCTCAACCAAAGTCAATTGTTCGCTTGATTTTTGTCACACTTCATCTGTCTCATTCTATCACCAATTCCTCTATCTGCCAGGGTACTGAATCCAACACATCAAGATCTTCATCCACCACCTAACATATTCATCCTTGCCCACCCCTCTCTCACAACCTACCCCTTTTCAAATCTCAAAAAAACAAAAAAAATGCACCTCCCCCTCGAGCTCACCCCTCTCGCAAATCTAACCACAACCCGGCATCACATCCCCCTCCATCCCCATCCGCACCCTCACCCCTCCCACCCCCTCCTAATCTACCATTCCTGCATCCCCCCCTCCACTCCCCCCTCCCTCATCGAATCCCACCTCAAATCCCTCAACATCGTCACTCCTCACTGGCGCTACACCATGTACACACACCCACATTTCCACAGCAGCACCCACGAGGTCCTCTGTATATTTTCCGGAAGCGCAAGATTATGTATCCATTCCCCTTCTCCCCTCCTCTCCTCTCCCCACCTATCCACTAACCTTCCTCCCTCCCAAGGTTTCAGCACCCCAACCCGCAGCCCCTCCTCCAAAATCCAAACCACAGTAAACTCCGGCGACGTCATAATAATCCCCGCCGGCATATCCCACCACCTCCTCGAAGACCTCACCGGTGATTTCCAGATGATCGGTTCTTATCCCAAAGGTAAAACATGGGATATGTGCTACGGGGATGGAAGTTCTGAAGAAGAGGAGAAAGTTCGGGGAATTGCTGATTTGGAATGGTTTGATCGAGACCCCTTGTATGGAGATCAGGGGCCTGTTTTAGAAGAAAGTTGAGATTGGGAGTTGGGTGAGATGGATTCAGGTTAATCGTAGCGTGCCGTTTCTGTTTAACAATGTCCTTGCCACCAAAAGAAAGGGAAGCAATCTAATAACATTAAATATATTCCATTGTATGTATGTATACGTGTATTGTATATGCGGTGATACGGTAAGTGGTATGTATGATCCTGCGATTCCTGAATTTTCCCTACCCAATCCAATTCCAATTCCGTTTCATTTCACCCATCTCACTCCGACCCAAAGCACTCATTCCACCCGTGATCTCCCTCTTTATATCTTGTATCTCAGCACAAAAACTTCGCTAAGTCGTCAATCAATCCAATCCAAAAGAAGAAGGAACAAGAAAAAAAATGAAAGTCCAAAATACACCACCACCCGTTCTATCAGCCATAAAATTCCTACGAATGAATAGAAGAATCAACTGCCTCCTGCATGGCCTGTGCTACTCTCTCTGCCCTCTCATGTTTAGCCTCATCTGATTCTCGATTTCCTTCGTCGTTCCACACATTTGGTTCGACAGACACGGGTGTTGGTTTGGCTGTCTTCTTCTCCTCTTCATCACTACCATCACTATCATCATCGTCCCTTGCCCCCTCATGCAACCCCGACAAATGCCCCGGACTATCGACTCTCACAGGCGCATCACTAATCTTCTCTACCACCACCGCCTTTCCGTCTCCATTCTCCTCCGCCTCCGCATCAAAGATACTCTCTTTAAAACTCTCCGCCGTCCTCGGCCTTTCCCCCACTGGCGAATACCCCCCCTGGGAATTTCTCGGACTCAGTGGGCTCCTCTCCAACCCATGTTTCCCGTCCACAACAAGTATATTTTCCTTCCCAAACAAGCCCTTGGAGTTTCTCTTCCCATTGTTCGTAACCTGCTGGACCTTTTCCTGACTCCCCGAGCTTCTTCCCCATCCCGCTTTCCTTTTCTCTCCCATCCACGTACCCCAGCTCCCAATATATGCACCCGCTCTACTCTGCACCGAAGGGGTCTTTGGTTCATTAAATCCCGTTACGCTGACTGGACTCGAAGCCCCACTTGCAGTTGCCGCTTTCTCAGCCGCAATTCTAGCTTCCTCGTTTCTCTTTCTCTGGCTTTCCCGATAGGCTTCCATATCCGAATACAGTTTATTGAAAACAGTACTAGCTCTCTCCTTCCCCGCTGCAAGATTTCTGCCTAGAACTTCCTTGCCTACCGCAAACCTTTCATCAAGATGCATTTCCTTAACCTGTTCAGCAATACGTCTTTGGACATCATCAATCGTAAGACCACCTGCACAAGGATGTTTAGGTTCTACGATATCAAAAAGATGCGAATCTGTGTGATTATTCCAGATTTCGTAGTTTTCACTCCTCGTCCACGCATCGATCCAATCCATGCTAAAATCATGAGCCGGATCGCCTTCAACCTGTGGAAGTTGCGCCCTGGGATTGTGTGCATTGACTACAAGGTAGTTATGGCATTTGACAGAAGAGATTAAAGAGAGGAGATATTCCTCAAACTGCAATCGGATGAACTCTTCAGAACCAACGTAGCCCATAGTTTTAGGTCGGCTTGGATTAGATTCATCCCAAGTATCGTTGACAGTTTGAGTAATGAAATCGATCCATCGTCGATCGGCCGCGGAAAGTGTTAGTGCAGACCTCAGTGATGCGGATGTGATATTAATGGTAAGGTCGTCTAGATTAATAAGAATGTCGCTGTATCGATCTCTCTGTTGTAAAAGTAAAGAATTCGTTGATCCAACAATATACGATTTTGTGCCGTAGTCCGCTAATATATCAAGTTGCTGTAAAGGAGTATAAGGGCCAAAAAGACTTCCCTAAATGTACAGTTAGTAAAAATTTTCACGTACTTTTGAAAATTGATGTTTACCTTGCCAAATATTTGCAAAGGCAATCCCATGTAATTCAACAATGAACTCCTATCGCTAGTTTTCAAACTCGTCGGTTTCACAAGGTTTCTCCTATAATCATCCAATTCCGGATCCGCACAATCTTGTAAATTCCGTATCAGACCCGGTATGAGAGATATAAGTGAAAACTGCATCATGCACAATCTCTCGCACCTCGAACCGAAAAATAACATCTACTCTCGAGTTAAAATCCACCACGGTTTGTCAGGAAAGGGGTATTTACCTTTGGTTGTAACAAACAACACTTAAAAAGCACCAAAGTCTGCCATTTAAACTCCTTGACCAATTCCCTCAAACTCATTCCTAGATACTCTTCCCTGTCCCCCAATTCTCCTCGACTTTTTTCCTCCGCCAGACTTTCCTGAAACCTCTTCAATATCTCTGTATCTGTGAACTCTCGTTGTGCAAACCATGCTTTCGTGACAACTCCCAACCTCTCCCTCAACATTCCAAAGAATTGTGGAGAATCTGCTATCACAACCACTGCCTTTTGCACCGTCGATCGTGTGACTTCCGCGGGGCGATTAATCAATATCGAGGCGTCCATTTGTTGTGTGCAGGAGATACCGAAGAGGGATGTTGGAGGTAGATTTCCGCGCGCGGGTCGTAAAAGTGTAAAATAGGAGAAATCTTCTGTTGATCTGCCATTTCAATTGCCCGTCAGTCTCAAATCTTTTTGTTTGAATTGGCAGAATGCGAGCAAAGCAACTTACGCATGCGCACCATCACTCAGAGCCATGAATGGTAATAAAGGCCATTCATTGTCCACCGCAGGATCGGTCCCCTCTTCTGCTCCAAACCAGTATTCGACTTCCGGTCCTCTAAGCAAAAATCATGTCAGCCACCTTTCCCTTCCTCATCTACCCTCATGTCCATCACATCCGTTCTCAATCCCCCCACTACCTCTTCCCCAGAGATGCTTACCTCGCATGATGAAAGTCCACCACCGTAACCAATGGCACAAACCCCTTCCTTTCCCCCGCCAACGACCCCTCCTTCCCCTCCTTCCTCTCAGTATTCTCCATCCAGTGCGCTTGTCCCTCTCCCAGTTTCTCTCCCAAGCTATAAAGAACCGACTTTCGATACGTTGTTCCAATCCGGAGCCGCACTTTGTCTCGAGTCCCTCTCACAGATTTTCTTGGCCTAATGGCTGAAAGCTAAAAGAAAGGCAACAAATCACCTCCCTAAATTCCTCCTCGAGATCTGTTGAATGCCAACAGCCGGTGGACGAAAGATAGGTAGGTGTGTATGTATTTCGATATTATATCTTCGTCTCTGGATTGTTTAGTTCCGCTTATGCCACAGTTAATTACTTCTGCTTGTCCTTCTCGCCTTCAATGTTTCGAGTAGACCGAAGAAGAGTATTCGTCCTCGTAATCAAAACATCATATTCCCCAATTCCTCACTTCAAGCTTTCAACTTTATGTTTCCGCTTGTGTTAACTTTCCGCTCTCCAAGATCAATTCGTCTCGCAAGTCTTCGATAGATCGTTACAATCTCGATCCGTCTTGTCCTATCAATCTCCTTCTCCTTTCCTCAACTAAAATCCCAATTGTAATAAATTGATACCCGTTTACAATTAACTGGCCAATGCTCTCTCCAGGGTTTTGATATTGCGAACCTAGTGAGCTGTATGCGTAATAAACCAGCCGAGCAGTTAGGCAATTTTACTTTTACCCCTCTGTTAAATTCATTAACCCTTGACGATCCCTATCAAAAAGTCCCTCCAGCCTTTTAGTTCGCAATTTCCAAAAGTTCGAAGGTTCCTTAGAAGATTTCCAGAATCAATTTCTCAGCCTCCGAATGAGGCTGGAGCAAAGGGTTATCGCAAACTTTATCAGTATGCTATGCTCACCCATCAAGTCAAACTTGTTTATCTTCTTGTCGTCAACAGTTCAGTTGAAAATCACCGGCCGGCAGTTAGTCAAGATAAACCTGTCTTTATTAACAGTGTACTAAAATTTTACTCATCAAACCACCCATTGAAATAATCCTAAACACCCCTACTAAAAAAAATCCAGCACCAGACCGTTACCCAGTTCCCATCACACACTCCTATCACTCCTATCCAATCCATCCCACCTCGCTGCAAGGCCAGCGAATAAGTCCAGGAAAACATCATCCTTGCAATTGTGTGCGCACCACGCATCTCCACCATTAATTTATCATCCAATACTTCTGTCCTATTTCGATGCTTACTGTACATGCATGCGGGCATAAGTAAAAGAGCCAATTTGGAGTTCTGTTCTCGTCACATGATTGTGTTGGGTCAATTGGGTGCGAGACTGCGTAGGATTCCAATGTTGTTGTTTGCCATGCTTGGATTTGTACCGTATCAATTATCATTATGTCTTGGAGAATGCTTGGGAGACGCTTGGGAAATGCTTAGTTTGTATTTTGTTAGCTGAGCTTCAAGCCAATAAAGATACTCATTCACTAGGTCACAGTCAACATCTGCGATGGTTTGTATCCAATCGTTGCAAAAGGGAGTGACCCTCAGAAAGATAGCTCGATCATTATAAAATCGTAACTCGTTTATTCTATTTCCCATTAAACGCCAATAAGCCAATGACCATACTCGTCCTATCATCCTATCATCTAAGTACAACTTTTGCGGAAAGAAATTCATCCATCTACTGTGTGCAAAGGTCCCCCTCTCGATTTCACTACTCCACTCAAACCATGCACAGTCCATAAACCCACAGGCAGACGGACTATAGAATTCAGAAACTTCGGAAAATACGTGACTCATCATCCCTTGGTGAAGTAATATATGTACGCCAGAAGTCGAAGAAAAAACAAAGCCAGTTCTCGCCAGAGGTCGCGTTGCATCAGAAAGCACAAGAGAGCACTCCTCTCACCCAGCTCTCCCATAATGTGTATCCATCCCATGCTAAAGGTTACACCTAGGCAACACCTTTTCATAACTAAATTCAATCGAAAAACAAAATACCAAATGCATTTTTACTGACTGTCCGTCAGACTGTCCGTCAGGGTTTGGGTGTCGTTGATGACATTATGATAATCGAGAATCTCGGAGTACCTGCAGAAAGTTCCAAGTCAGCTTTACCATCTTGGTCCGTCGCATCCACTCGAGAGCCTGTAGACTTCTGCAGATTGAACGCACATCATCTATCTTTGGTAATCGAAAAGTTGTTCGTACATCATGATTTTCCAGGTGTCAACTGGGAGGTCTGCGTCATTAAATGACCAATCGAACCTCTCCTCTGCCGCAGGCTCATCGGTTGGGTCGTGGTAAGGAGAAAGGTATTCATGTGCCAATCCCTCGGCTGCCTTGATTCGCGCTCTGGGGTCGAATACCAGCATCTTTTCGAGGAGATCAATAGCTAAGACGGGTCAATGAGGATTACAATAAAGTGGAATGCAATGCTAGGGACATACCTAATGGATCTGCTTGAGTAAACTTGCTTGCAAGAGGTTGTCTCTCGCGCTTGGGCAGAGATTGCACAAATCTCAAGGTCTGAAAACAATTAGCTGCATCCTATTATTTGTACATAATATAATGACTTACGTTTTCACTGGCAATGGTGTGGATAACATCATCTGGTGGAGTTCCGAGAAGCTCGGTGATGATGGAGAATTGATTGACGTGATCCTTTCCTGGGAACAAAGGTTTGCCTTCCAACATCTCTGCGAAAATACATCCCGCACTCCAAACATCAACTTCCACGTCATACTTTTGCCATGTAAGCATGATCTCTGGAGCTCTGTAGTATCTTGTAGAGACATATCCTGTCATTTGAGGATCTTGAATACGGGCGAGACCGAAATCGCAGATCTTAAGATCGCAGTTCTCATTGACGAGGATGTTGCTGGGCTTGAGATCACGATGAACGACGCCTGCAGAGTGAACATATTTCAATCCACGCTAAAAAGTAACATTAGCTTAATTCTTGCTTGAGTAGTACAACTAGAAAAGGGATCATTTACCAAGATTTGATACAAGAAGTATTGGATAAATTGCTTCTCGAGTGGTCGCGAAGTCAACAAACGATGCAAATCTGTGCCAAGGAGCTCGGTGACGAAGTAGCTAGTATTTTTTATCAGTCTGAGTTCTCTCCGATTTCCTGGGAGCTACATACATATCCTCAAGAGGTGAGATAAAGATATCACTGAGAGAGATAACCTGTAAACTTTTAGTATCTCCAGAACCAGCCACCATTGTGTATTTGTATTATCGTGATGAAAACGTACATTCTCGTGCTTGAGATGTTTCAACAATTTCAATTCTCTGTAAGTTCTCTTGGATAGAACTGGTGTGCTGAAAGGCTTCATAATCTTCTTAACCGCGACATTTGAACCGGTAAGGTTATCTTTGGCAGAGCTGTGCGAGTGACAAGTATTAGTGATTTGTTGAGCAAAGGTATTTTGTTTTACCCCTCAGTTGAAGATTTCATCACCAAGATGGGTTAAAAATGAGAGGAGAAATCATACCAAACGAGACCAAATGCGCCCATGCCCACAGGCTGTAAGTCAGAGTACCTGCATGACAAAATTATCAGTATTGCAAGTCGCAAAGGAGGTGGTTGACAATCTCTTGTCGTTTTGCTCGATTTCTTTGAGCCCCGCGTACCTGGAAGTAATCTCAAAGGTGGTACCGAAGATCTGAGCTCTTACGAATTCAGCCATTTTGAATTAAGTGATCTCTTTAGAGAACTGTTGAAGGGGGAGGATTATTCGTAGGGATGCAAGAAGTTTTGTCTTTAAAAGAAAAGAAGGACGGTGTTGCGAGAATATGTAGGTGGTGGTGGTGGTGGTGGATGAGTGAGTGAGTGAGTGAGTGAAATTTGCTTGGTGGTTGGTAGTTGGGTGGGTAGTGGGATCTAATAGGAAAGAGACTGCAAGAATGATTTGAGGTGGAATTTGTCGCCTAACAAGTTTTGGTTCTGTCAGTCAAATAATTCCTTATCCATCGAATAATTCAGCAAAGCAGCGGCAATTGAGTTTTTACCTCTTCAAAAGATTCGAGTGTTTGGTTTATTATTATTAGTAGGTCCGGTCCGGTATACTACAACCACCCAAAATCCAATGCAAATACAAAGATCGAGCGAATGCCGCTTTTGCAGTCTTTGGCTTGTGTTTAATTGGGAAAGAAGGTCCGAGGTAGCCAGCCCTTTTTAATATCTGGTGAATGTAGGAAGGAGGGAGGAGGTAGGAGGTAGGAGGTAGTAGGGATGAAAAGGCTCGTGGACTTTGTTGGTGCGCAGAAGCTACTCTCTGTACTTGGTTGGATACCTCCAGCTAGCTAGTATATTAGACTTGATAGATGGTGACTTTCCTGGAGAAGGGACCAGTAGTTAGGCAAGTGTACTCGAGTCGAGCTGATGGGGAGGGAGATAGGTACCTGGTATGGCAGGGTAATTATTAAATAAATGGATTTGATTCTTTATAACTACTCCCAGAATGACAGTTGTGAATCGAATCTCTTTGCTTCTTTCAATCCGAGTGTGTTATTGTTATTAGTCGAGTAATAAAATCCAGATATAGATGATCGTTACTCAAGATGGAGGGGAGAGTCAAGTTTATATACGCTTGATAATTGATAGTGACAGCCAACATTGTACAGCATCAACTACCAACAATGCAAGATATCCTGCTTTGCATGCTCCCGAGACCCAGCCCACTCGTCGCTGTTTTCTTCCTTTTGAATGTCTATTTATACGGTGGATGGGATGGATGGGTATCTAGGTATCACGATGGGTCTCTGTAGGAAGTGCTCACTCGAGTCAATGGGGTGTCGGCGGGTAGATGGTCGGAAGACTAAACCATCGAGGGGTTGCTAGGTATCTATTATGTACGGAGTCGTATCTAGTCTCCTCGTCTCTAGTATCTACTCGACCTAGGTAGTCTCTGATATCTGGTATCTGGTATCTGGTATCTGGTATCTGGTATCTGGTATCTGGTATCTGGTATCTGGTATCTCTCATCCATGAATTGGGGTGTTCCTTCCCCTCCCCAGCTGGAGGATCGAGAATGGAGGATAGCGGATAGCCATCTGCAAAATGCAAGTAAATAAAGCTTGGCATGGGCAACTAATTTATCCGTCGCTCTTTTGAATCTTTTTCCCTTCTTTAGATTGCAGGAACCTTATGACCGTATTCCCTTAATGCCATATTCCCATGTTACGACGGATTCAAAGTTGCATCTGATACCGGTACTAGGTCGACATCCAGGTCACCCTTGGAGTTTGGGATTAATAAGGCGGCATTAGATCATTTCAAGGTACGCACCCAGATTCGAAACTTAGAAATCCCACTGACGTCATTGTGAAAGATCCATCTCCAACTTTTCATTCCATCAATCCTCTTTTTCTCGGATTGATCGATTGAATCGAAACCCCAGTCCCGCTCGAAATCGATACCACGCGTGAACAGCCGAGCGGGATGAAGGAAAGGGATACCAAAAAGGTATAGAATTTGGATCATTTTTTGTTAATCTTCTTCTTGTTCTTCTTCTTGTTCTTCTTCTTGTTATTCTTCTTGTTATTCTTCTTGTTATTCTTCTTGTTATTCTTCTTCTTCTCCTCCTCCTCCTCCTCCTCTCAATGAATCAAGGTCACCCTGGAAGCGTTCGTCTAATCTACGGTACATCTCTCACGACCAGTCACCAGCGTACCGATCCGATTCATTGACTGGCAACTCATGATATCTATATTAAATGCTCAACATGTTTACACCCATCTCGTGATAAGTATCTAAGGAAACCGCACAATAAGGAGTTATCATCTTGGTCTACCAGCGTGTACCTACCCGAGCTACCTTAGCTATCGAACCTAAAAGTTGGGACCAAGTGAAGCAATCTCCGCAACTCAAAAACACAGCATTCTAATTTCTCCATCATTTTCGGTATCGAAAACTTAAACTCCGATGAATTTCAATGATACATCTGTGATTGGCTCGATTGTCTGATCTCGGTTCCACCATCGACAACCCTTTGATGTGGCAAAAACCTACTTTTATACTTCACACTTCGCACATGGCTCTATTGAACTTACTTCAACTTTCGGAGATGGTTCTGAGGAGAAGTACAGAGTACCTGTTGAATACCATTTGCATCGTTGATACACAACTTCTAATAGACCAGATAAAACCAGATCAAACCAAACGGAAGTAGTTGATACAATGGCTTCATACCGAAATCCGCACCACATAACTTCGGCATGTCTTTTTACTCCCAACCATCTGTACAGAAAGGCTCTCATCCATGGGTCACTACGAATGAGGAAACTACAATATCCGTCTCTAGCGTCTTGAAATAATCCAAGCTCAAACTACAAGATTGCACCAAATTATCATCAATGCGCAAGCAGCACCACGGAGCAAATACAGTTCAAACGATCTATTCGGTTCCGGCTTCTGTAAAGATTATATGGTCAAGCTTCCGAAAAATCTAAACAAATTCTGTTTGGTTTCATTGGGGGTACCTAGGGTTAAAGGAATGTTCTGTTCCTCGGCGCTCACCAAATGGATATTACCAGAATAGCCTTTGGGGCTAGCCATTATCAATCATTTCCTCTCTCCTCACTGGAAATGTACTCCACACATTTTACCCGCTCCAGATGAATTTTATCTTCAAACTTATAATCACAGTTCGAGCCGATAATAAGCGGCGCCTATCATAAATCGAAGTAATTAGGTCCGACCCTTATTGTACTAAGTAAAGATCAAGATATATGTGTTCGCATTCTTCAAGTCCCAATCAAAACAACACCGCGTAAACCCGAACTGATCCACTCAAGATTTCCTACCACAATAGCCTTATTAGAGAGTTTCGGCTAGTATTACTCTAAATACATGACCCGAGAAGGCCCGCGCTTCGTCCTACCGCCTACCGTCTCGCTGGGAATTGCGGCTTCTTTTCTCTCCTATTTCCCCTTTCTGTTTTCTCTTCTTCACTCTCCTCGTCAAAGACATGAAACCCGATTTCACATGATCATCTCGTCAGCACATGGTATCTTTTTGGTTGGCATCAAAGAGCGATTTCCCAATGACCACAAGCTTCTTTTATGGATGCGAGCTCAGCTTCTATTCCAGCAGCTTTATATCGTTCATCATATGATTTTACTGGAGTTCCAGCTGATCGAGGAGCTCTCCGTTGATTTCCTAATCTTCCAAGTAACGCTGTACACTACCCAATTCTTTTTGGGGCGATATCGCGAAAGAGGAATTGGAAGGATCTCAAGTGAACTTTCTATCTTGTGTGGACGTTTTACACCCAAGGGTCATGTTTAAAGATCAGGATACGGAATATATATATCCATGACTCGAGTAATAACATTGAAATAGAGGGAAGCCGAGAGCAAATTCGTCGATGCTGCTGAACTCATTTCATACATATTGAAGATCAATATTATTAACATACTTGCTACGCATATGTATCTATCATCTCAATCCTCGAATGCAAAGCGAAAGAACACGAAATTAGATAGACGTCTCGAGACCTGTTATCCGCTTATTATAAAGATAACTGTTTGAGTATCCATAGAGAGTACCTTTCTCCATGATTTCCCGCTTCTACAAATACGTAGCGCGATATCTCTAAGCGGTAAGCTGAAGGGAGATTGTGAGTTTATTCCAAACTTCCAATAGGTTTGTGACATATATCGAGGAAAAGAACGCGAGGTAGGTAGGTAGAGGTAGTGCAATCCGTTTGTGAATATCGCATTCGAGTAGCTAGATCATCGTCGTGATATGTATGTATATATATAGATTACTCTTTGTACTCTACTACCATCTCGCTTAATTCCTATTCAGAGGTGGAAGAGGGGATATGAATATACCTAGTAGTATAAGTCTTGTCAGTCTTGTTATTTCCTGAGCTTAACTAGGTAGGTATCTAGGGATTGTAATGAATTATATAGATAGATGATAATATATATATATATACATACTATACTTTATATTATTATATTATATAATACTATATTATAATCTAACTTGATTCTCAAAAATCAAAATAGATAGATACCTAGAGAGATATCTTAATATTCTATTTATATCTCTCCTACAAACACTCATCTATTTATATATTACTCTAACTCATATAAATATAAACTCACCATCTAGATACTTTCTAATCAAATCAAATCAAATCCCGAGTTTGAAATTCGGAATTTGATACTAGATTCTCATTTTGATATTAGATTCTAATATTATTAATAATCTCTTATATAATAATAATAAAATCAGATATTAGATTATATAAATTAAATCAAATCAAACTAAATCATCTCTTAATAAAATAATAGTAAATAATATATGAAAAATAAAAATAAATAAGAAATCTATAAAATCGAATTGTTATATTATAAATAATATAAGAATTTTATTATTTATATATATATATATATGTAAATAGATATTTCTCTCTCTATATCTATTTCTCTCTCTATGTCTATTTCTCTCTCTATATCTATTTCTCTCTCTATATTCATAAATAGATATTAATAACTAGATATTAATAAATAGATATTAATAAATAGATATTAATAAATAGATATTAATAAATAGATATTAATAACTAGATATTAATAAATAGATATTAATAAATAGATATTAATAAATAGATATTAATAAATAGATATTATTTATATATAGAAAGATATATTCATTTTTGAATATATAGTAACTTAATTCATAAACTCATATACTTACATACTCATATACTTATATACTCATATACTCACTATCACTATCAATAATCCCAACCTCAACACCTCTCCTCTCCCTTTCTCCTTTCCTTTTCTCCTTTTCTCCTCTCCACCTCTTCTACTTAACCCTTACAGCAAGCGAGACATTACACTTCGGCTTCCATACCCAGAAACGGAAGACAAGACGAGGCGAGATGAAAAGATATAGATGAAATCAAAGAAGGAAGATGGTATCTACATATACACATATTGAGTCCTAGACACATCTAGCTAGACTGCTGTATGTAGCTAATCCTATAAGTCTCGAATAGAACAATAATTAATATCATAACTGAATAAACATATCGTCAATATAATACATATATATACACCCATAAATATAGACCAAGAAACTTGTCACCAAAGCAATTCATCATCAAGATAGAAAGACAACATCCCACACAATCTCCTCTTTTATACACAAAACGCGGAATTACTCAAATACCAAACCATCCAAAAAGCATGCACATATATTGAAACACCCATAGCCCAATATTCATACATATATTCACATTCCCCTATCAAAAAATTATCACTATAACAGTACAAACTAATCCACCCCCATCAATCTATCCCACAATAACATTTCTCAAACCCCAATCTATCTATTTCTACAGCTGTACACCAATACCACACGAACCACTATTCAACAATTGCAGGGTATATCGAGAGAAAGAAAAAACCCCCCTAACACCAAACGGAGCATTCGAATTTTCCCAATCAAAAAACACCTGACCCAAAGCCCAGCAACAAATTCGCCGAGTTGCAGAACCCCATATTTGATGCGCCGAGTTAATGAGTTCGCCCAAAAAAAAAACTTGATCCTGATATCCATGTTCTTCATAGCTGATGTGTTTGTAGAAAAAAACATTAATGAATCGAAGTCGTACTTTGATGTTGAAAATTGTATGTACGTTCGCTACCGACATTTGTGAGAGAACGCCTAGACTCCAATATCCGTGGAAAATGTAAGGGTATTCTGATATGTACTCCCCAGGTACTCCGTAAGTACTCCATTAGAATAAATCATTCTGAACCACTCAAAAATAGATCTCAAGCACTTGTATTGGCTCTAACTGTAGTAGGCCGTGCAGACAAAGCTTTATTAGAAGGTGGATCTTGCGAAGAAGTAGATGAACCTAACCCACTATCCGTGACGACAATTTTGGGGACCCCAGATTGACCAGACGAGGAAGAAGTATTGGAAGAAAGAGGTGAATCTATGTCCCCAGTTGAATCCTCGAGTCCAAGACCTTCATCCACACTCTGAGAACCTGCAGATTGCAGACCATTGCCCCTGAACAATCTTTCCGAGAACATTTGCTCTGGGGGTAGAAATGTTCGTGGTCCCAATGACGATACACCTGTAATTGGGCGTGCTCCCTCGGTAACGGGATACATTCCATTTCTCGAAACTGGTGGCCCATAGTGTTGTGCAATGCCATTTGCGCGCCACATGGCAAGAACAGCTTCCTTATCGTCAAGTCCGACTGCCTTGATTCTTTCTGTAATCCAGTTCTCAATATTCGCTCTGCTCTGCGACGCAGAAGGCTTGAATTTATAGGCTGTCACTTCATGTTCTCTATAGACTGCCTGGCTGGAGGTACAGACCCGACAAGATTTCTCCGCCGGGGTGGCATTTGGTCCTTTCCTACATTTCCACCAGCCCCCCTTTCCATTACGTCGCCCAACTTGTTTCCATTCTTCGCCATCGCTGTGAAATTCCAGGTTCCATAGATTACGTTTGGGATTCCTCTCCTTATGATCATCATAGCCGAGCTCAATTTCTCTCCCAATAATCCAATCGTTAATCATATTCCTGAAATTGTCCCAGGGCCTATGAATTCCATCGGACGGAAACCAGTCCGGTAGGTATGCGCCACACGTATCCCGATCTGCGAGTGTGATTGGAGGTCCAGGTGGGATGTGTGTCTCTTTGCATTTCTTGCAGTATTCGATGGGTGCCTCTTCGTCTAAATTTTTGACAAAATCGGCTTTTTGTTCGTCTCTGTGAGCACCCAAATGTTAGCAATTGTGTCTTATTATGGGCTTGAGACAGAGTATGCGACAAGAAACACCAGCACAGCTGTGACATAACTGTCAAAGTAAGATTGTAAAAGAGAAGAGAAGTTTGGTAAACTTACACAGTGTAGATTTCACCAACACATGAAGGATCATGTTGTACCCATGGCTTTTGTGTAAAGTCTATTCCAGTGGCCATCATTTCACCAATCGATGGTTTTCTGGTACGCTTAGGTGCAGTAGATACAAGCTTCTCAGGAGATGGTGTATTTTTTACAGCAAGCTCAGCTCCATCAAGAGCCACATCGAAAGTATCATATTGTTGTGGATCGTACTTGTCGACCTTTTCTATCCCTGTATAATCAGAATTTGCTGGCGGAGGAAAGATTTTCCACGGTTCTACTGGCTCATTTGGCCTCGAAGGGGGAAGTTCGATATTCTCGGGTGCACGCTGACGAGAAAAGCCGGTGACGACTATCGGATTCGTAGGCTTGTACTCATTGTAGGTATATTTGGATACCACTTCACCCGCGAGATTTCTGATGACGGCGGGCACAGTCTTCCGCGCATGCGCAAGAGGTACAACTGAATGAGGTTTCGGCCGGGGCTGGCTGGATGATGTAATACCATTCGCATCAAATTTTGAATCATGACGAGGTCGAAGGGATAGGTACTTATAATCTTCCGAGGTTTGACTGTTAGAGGCCACAGCTTGGGAATCCATAGAGGTATCCTTGTGTAAACGTTTGCTGTTCTCCAAAATAGAAGCTGGTTTGGTTTCATTGTTCGGGCCAAGTGAACCATGATGTGGCATAGTTCCCGAGTTGTCCATGTTGAAATGAGTCTGTAGGTGGAGCGGGTGAAACATTATGAATTGGAAGCAAAGTGAAATGTTATCCTCCTCTTTTTTGACTGTTGATGAGAAATTGTGTCAAAAATTATTGATACAAAAGGAAGACCTGAAGGACAGATGTAAGTTATTTATTTTTCTTGGTGTGTGAGAAAGTTTGGTGCAAGGCTAACTTGTCATTCTAGTTCATGGAAAGAAACTTGCTTAAAATTTTAGTCCAAGGTAAATCAGAAACTCAAAAAGCCAGCGATCAAAGAATTATGCCCCCTTGATAGCTGATATGCAGTTGCCCGATTAATGTAGGAACAGTGTCTCTGGAATCTACCATGAGCAAGCTGGGTAGATGTTTCCTGAAAAAGTCGTTGGGGTTGATGAAATAGAATGATGGAAGGTAGAAACAGGCCAGATGACTGCCTGAGAAGTTGTTGATTCATAATTTGAAGTAGAATAATCAAAAGGGTTTGAATAATCTATATACTTTACTGTGATAAGTTACGGTTGTAGAGGTCCAGGAGCATACTGTAGTAGGTAACTGTCAGTGACATAGGTTCTCATATGTGGAGATATAAACGACACTAACAGTAATTGAATGGTACAGATGAAAAAATAGAAGTGAATAGAACATGAACACATCAGACAAAAACAATTTTTATGTTTACCTAGAGGAGATCAATATTAAAGCATCAATGCTGAATGGGGGTTTGTTGATTGTGGATTGTGGAAAGGAAACATGAAGGCTTTGTGTTTGGAGGGAAAGAACTCCGCAGAACTAAAAAATAAAAAATAAAAATAGAAAGGTGCAACAGTGAGAAGATATGATGAAAGACCAAGCACTCAAATTCACTAAACATACTTTGATATAACTATCAACACCCTAGTATTCAACAAAAATGGTTACTCAATTACAGATTAACAAAGGTTTTACACAAACCCACTGTTGACTGCCCAAGTTTCATCCCAGAAGAGGTCCAATACTGACTGCTTCCCTCTTTGCTAAAATGGCGTCTTGCTCTAGCTTCAACCGTGATTTACCTGCTCGCCTTTTTTCCGCCTCCAAACTCGAGAATCTTCCCTTTGCGCCATGCTTGAGTTTCGTTATCATATCTCCAGCCTGGCCCTTCTTCAGATCCGCGGAGGTCAATTGGTCATCCTGTGGTCGAAACTTGTTAAGAAACATCAATTGCCCCTCTGTGGCCGGACCGTTTCTCCAGGAGACCTTTCTAGCAATAAATTGAAGAGGATATTTTTTGGCCGCGAAAGTATCAGCCGCATGAACGGCATCCAACAAGGTTTCTGCAGCGACCAGTTGGCGGGGCTTTGCAAATGGTGATTTAGATTTCGAAGCCCTTAGACTAGCCATGGCAACAGTTTCGGTGACAGTGAACTTCTCGTTCGACTCCTCGGACTCTTTTTCAATTTTTAGGTAAGTTCCATTTGAATTGCTGAGCACATATTTGTCTGAACCAACACATACCCATGCAAATGGGGAGATAGATCTGACATGCTTTTCTACAGAGGTGTCTTCGATAAGGTCATAGACAGAATCATAATCAGTGAAACTGACGGTCCTGATGTTGGAACTGGCGGATCTTGGAGAAGCTTTAGCTTTCACGTCTTCGGCTTCTCTCTTCCTCGCTTCCTCCTCCTCCTTTCTTTCCTTAAGAGATTTAAGATCATCCGGCTTCGCTTCCTCAACGAGTTCGGAAGGATCAAGACCGAAAAGAGTTGGCGTGGTTACGATGCCAGTCGTGAGGGTGGCAACCATATCAATGATATGACAATTCTCCTTTCCAGGATGTAATCGCATACCTCGACCAATCATTTGAACGAGCAAATTACGCGATCTGGTAGGTCTTGCCAGTAATACACAGTCAATATTCGGAATATCAGTCCCTTCAGTAAAGACTCCGCAATTAATCAGCACTGGAAAATCCCCGTTTCGAAAAGCATCGAGTCTGGCACTACGCTCGATCTTTGGAGTATCCCCCGTTACGAACTGTGCATCAATCCCGTACTCGCGAAATTTGTTAGTCAATCCTCCCACATGAGCAAGATCGACACAGAAGACTATTGTAGATTTCCTTCCTTTGGCCTTTGCAAACCAACTACGCACAGTAAGCTCATTGATTTGATCAGTGTTGACAACCTGCGATAGTTCTCCAGTCTGAAAGTCTCCATTCGGGCCCTTCCTCACGGAAGAAATATCAGCTTTCGACTGTACGGTGGTGAAGATAACCCCAGATAGCCATTTGTCTTCAATCATATCAATGTAATCTTTGTGATAGACTATCTGATCAAGAGCAGCACCCAGCCTCAACCCATCGGTACGAGACAAAGTCGCCGAGACGCCAACAAGAGCTGGGGAGCTTTCTCGCTTTTCGGAGAGTCCAAAATGAGTCAAGACTTTCAAGTATTGTGGTGCAACAATATGATGTGCCTCATCAACCAGTATCAATTTGAAACGAGTAGGATCGAACTTCTCGATCCGGTCACGAGATCCAATACTTTGAATACTTGCCACAGTGATGTCTGCGTATCCACTAGCATGCATCTTACCCATCTCTATTTCAATTCGTTTGTTTGGGTAAGCATTTTCACAGTGCCTAGCTGCTTGCTCGACAAGCTCTTGTCGGTGAGCTAGGATCAGTGTTTGGGTTGCGCTTTCAGTGTTTGGTTGAACTCGATCAATCAGCTGTGTGAAGATTACCTGCCAAATGTGATGAGAATGGGAAAATAATGATACTCGTCCAGGAAATTACTTACAGTCTTTCCACTTCCAGTAGCTAAAGACACACCCATACGCTTGTGACCTTGATCCAGATGAGAAAGTACGGCTTGGATACATTCTTCCTGGTAATCCCTCAAAACAATGGTTTGGCGAGGACTAGCCACAGCCACTTGTTGCACTCTAGGGAGCGTGGAAGCTCGTGCATAACTTCTGATGGAGCTTTGTACCCTTCGCGGTCGCCATGACCTTGAAAATAGCCCTAGCAATCCTCTTGAAGTAGGAGGCATGATGATATTAAATTGTGGCAACAAATTGTGGTCAGTATTGAACACTGATAAGCGCGATAGACGCGAATGATCGTATCCCTGTATCAAAGCCACGGCATTCAAAATTATAACCTTAATCGGAAGTACCAAGGTCCATATCCTCTTGTTTATTAGCTTATTAGACAGGACCACATTACAACCGTGCTAATTTTTCAAGGTTCTCTCATGATTCACTCCAAATTTTACTTTTTTTTTTCGGAAAAGAAAACAAAATATATCAAAGCGTAAATATTCATAATCGAGGCTTTTCAGAAAGGCGAGTTTCGATCCACATCACGTCCCATTTTATCGCAAACTATGTGGACGAGAAGAGCACAACACATTTATCGATTAATACGCTTTAAAGATCGTTAGCTCGCCTACATGGATCCTAAAGATTCTGATCCCTTCGAAGGCCCATTTGATATTCCTGAACCAGATTCAGGATCAGCGTACGAGAATTCTGACAGCGATTTTGGGCAAACATCACATGATGAGAGCGCGCGTACAGGCGGTTCTCAAAACCACGGAAGTAATGATGGAGGCGATGTACATTCAGAAGGAGAGAGTGATTCTTATTCAACCTCTCTAGCAAATCCAAATCCGAACAACCAATATACGGATGAATGGATAATTGCAGATGCTCTCAAATGGGCAGCTACTTTTGTACCTCCCAATGTGGAAGATATTCCTATGCCAACAAGAGGAGCCTACCGTCCGACATCCAAAAAGCGAAAGTTAAAGCAAAGAACGAATGGAAATCCGGCGAGGGCAAAGCGCGTCAAAGGATTTAATAGCAAGGATTATCGCGATCTCCTGAACAATGAGATTTATGATGTAGGAGCGAAGTCGATCCTTGAGGATAATACTCCATTGGAAGGCAGTCAAATTGGCTGTTCCATATGGACACCCGAAGAAAAAGATCTGTTTTTTACTGGATTGTCAAGACTGGGCAGAGACAATGTAAGAGCTATTGCTACACGCATAGGGACCAAGTCGGAAGTTGAGGTGCAGGAGTACATGCAACTACTGCACCAAGGATTAAAGGAAAGGAAAATTGAAGATGCGCGACTACTGGATGTGACAGAATATCCAGCCGCCGCGGAATTTACTTCAGAATGTTGTGAAATTATGGAGCGAGCAGCAGATGGTCTTGCTCTACGACAAGAGCAATATGAGGAAGATGTTGAGGAAGCTAAATGGGGGAAATATTGGCTCCTAACCGAAAAAGTGAGCAAGTCTCTAGAACAGAAACGCAGTGTCACCAGGACCCAAGGCAATGAAGATGTTCAAGATTTACTACCAGCAGTCCGCCTTTTAAACCTCAAGAATTGGCTTGCACTTTCCGAGAGAGTGTTTATGAACTCCTCCGAGTCCAGATGGGAGGATAATTGGAGGCAGATAGGGGAACATGGAGAAACTCCCGCAATGCGCGCGACTGCTTTTGACGATTTTCATTCATTAACAGTCAGTATCGCGAAACGTCTCGTTTCAACTGTTCTCTTCTGCACAATGTCAAGAATAAGAGCCATGGACTCGAATAAGATCAAAGCAGCGGATATCAGCATCAACGACGTGGAAGCTGCCACTAAGATTCTGAAAATGGACGCCAACAGCAATGAATTCTGGGTAAAATGTGCGAGGAGAAACAATCTTTCTATTTCCCGCCACGATGAACCGGGTGGCCCTATAATGACATACCCAGAGGTGGAAACCGAACTACGCAAAGAATATAGTGGAAGGAGGAGCAGATCTCGTTCACGCAGTCGTCCGCACCTAGATCACGCCGAAGATTTATCAGAAGTATACACATCCTCCTCCCATTCCCACCTCGATTCGGATATTGAATCAGATGCTTCCGAAAATTCTATTGTATCTGATCATCTCGATGATAATCCTTTCACTCAGCGATCTCCATCCCCCTCTCAATCGCAAACCCAGTCTCGCTCTCAACGCAAAACCCATCTCTCGCCCGAAGAATATGAATATGCCCTAGAAGCTTACGTCTCCGCTTTCGATGACCGAGTCAGCAGAGTCGAAGAACAACGCATCTGGAGCCTATTGGGACAAGATCCACCTCCAGATATCAAGGCAGATGAAGATGAAGAAATGCCCGAGAAGCCTGCTAAGAAACTGGAGGTAGATGCTGAAAACAACGGGGAAGAATGGAGAGACAAGGAATTTCGGAGTGAATGGGAGGTTATGGGTGTGGTTGGCGAGGAAGAGTTCCTGAGAAACAGGGAAAAGATTGGGAGAAGAGAAAGGAGAGAGATGTTGAAAAAGAGTCGTGAAGGAGAAGCAATGGCGATGAGAATTAGAATAGCTGAGAATCAAGAGTATTCTGGTGAGAGCGGCAGTGAATGGGATGATGTGGATGGAGAGACAATGGATGGTGTGGACAAGGAAAATGCTAGAGAATCGAACACCCACCACGACGAAAGTAACAAGCCAAAAGACATTGCTAAGCCTAGGTCTTACGTTGTCTACAATAGCGATGATGATTGATTAGCACAAGCTCACATAATAGTTTTATTTCCACACGATGTAAATATATGATCATGATATAAGTGCCACTTCATTATCTTAAGAATACACATGAGCACACGCGAAGAGATACGAAAAGTAAAAGCGTGAGACTCCTCTTGTGTGAAGGTACCTCCCCAATCTCAAAGTACAAACACATACATGTGCGCGATTTATTACGCAACGACCAGTAAATATTCCATATTCAACCCCAGTTACGCCATGTAATACCTACAGCCAAGTCATTCCTTGCCGCCTGCTTGCTCGTATCATTCTTAGATATCATAACTCTTGATTTGACCTTCCGCACTCAACGGTTGTACGCTTCCTGCGGGAGCAGAAACCCCATTAAAGGACATTTTCTCCCCTCCTTGCATGACGTCCTGTGCCATTTTGATTCCTTGTTCCCCGCCTGTTGCAGCAGCTGTTTTCAGACCTTCTTGTACATCTCTAACACGCTTCTTGAATGATAGGCGGTCCAAAAAGAGCTGTTGGCGACCTCTTTCTAGCTCTCTTCGCTCCGCTTGCAGGATATCTTCCATTTCGTTAAATTGTTTCAACTTCAAATCGAGCTTCATTGATGTAATATTCACGGCTGCCGATACCAAGCGAGTCATTTCACGTTCTTCGTGGGATGCTAAGGCACCAGCACGACCGGCAACCGCAACCAATGGAAATGCAGCAATCTCACTCAACGATTGTTTAGTCGATTCGGTATCGTCAATTTCCATCGAGTCCGAAGCTCCCTCCTTCTCCTTCCCCTTCTCGGATCCTTGCGGTTTCTCAATCTTCTCTCGCAGACTTTTCTTCATTGCGTCTACTGTTTTACCAGCTGAAGCTGCTGTAACCTTAGGGTCTGTAAGACTTGCCAAGAAACCAATTACAGACATAAGTGGGTTGTCGGCCTGACTGAAAGGAAGCATGCCGTTTTCAGGACCCAACATACCAACGCCGATGGATTTGTTGGATTTGTCGGTGCTGCTTGGCTCCACATCGATGTATTTATCTTCAATCTCGAATTGCAGGAACTTGACGACGCACTCTTCTTTCGTTCTGGTACCGACGTACTCCGCGACTGCCGTCCAGTCATCATCATTACTTTCCAAAGCCTCCAAAAGTCGAAGAACCTCGGCATCACTCCAGTCACGAGCAAGTTCAGGAGCGGCCGTGTATGTTGGATTCTCCATCTTTTGATACTGTATTCGACCGTGGTTGTGAGGGTATCGACTTTCCATGAAACAATTCGAGCAAATATCCGATTTACCCTTGGTGGTTCCGGGAGCTGTTGGGTCGGCCGGAGACATGTGATGGTAATAAACACGAGTGCAGTCAATACCGCAAACATGACAGAGAATTTTGGTTATTGGAGCTTTCACAATGTCCTCGATGGACTTTTGAACAATGTCCGAAGTGCCATTGGTGCTCGCACCTTCGCCGTTTGTTTGCTTTTTGGAGTCCGCATTCAATTTGTTCTCTTTGGCAGTAGCATCGTAGATGTTGCGTCCTATCTGTAAATTTAAGTCTGACTTGGGAGCTGGCTCTGCAACTGCCTTGGCCTCTGTATCTTCATTTTTCTTGCCCTGAAGAACGATTGGATCGGCGGAAGGCTGCCACGGCTGCAGGCCACGAGGGGTGTCACATATCACTTTGAAATGGCCAGTAAAAGGGGGACCGACTTGCGAAGGTCGTTGTTGTGCGTCAACCTAGACTCATTAGCAGATGGATATTTCAACGGGTAAGAATTGACATACTTGATAATTGATCAAGCCCCATTGCTCGAGAAATGCATGAACGCGCATAATGGCGCAAACGTCACCAGCCAAGTTCCTCCGGCATGCTGTCACCGTCAAGTACTCTATTGGGTTCAATCGATAAGTATTGATCATGAAGTCTCTATAATCCTTGTAAACAGATGGGGTCTTGCTGCGATTGCGGTTGTTGAAGAATTCCGGCAAAGATTTCTTCTCGACTGGCGCAATAGCATGCATGTCGAACCAACTACTATAACTTGGTATTATAGTCGAATGTGTTTGTGAAATAAGATGTTCCCTTGCTGATGCTTCGATTGAAGCTTTTGTTTTCTCAACCTGTCCATTTGTAGCTCCACTCTCCCCATCGCCCTCTTTACTTTCTTTCACTTCGTCTTGGGCTTGGGAATCCCCCATTACCTCATCCTTGGGTTCATCTGCTTCTGGGCGAGGTGCGTCAGGCGCATCGAGCGGATTATCGGAAACAGGCGCACTTGAATCTTTTTTGATGGCTGAATCGACGGAACCAGCTTCTCCCATTGGGGTATCTATAGATATTATCCGTTAGAACTTACGCGTAATGCGAGCATGTGATGATATATACCTTCTGCTCTTTGGGCTTGTCCAGTGGCCCCTTGACTTGGTGGTGAAGTAGACTCTGCGGGAAGTGGTGGTTGCTCGAGGATGGCATTACTGCCTGGGGCAGGCGAATCAAAGTTCAATGAATTGTCCTCCATATTTGCTTATTTTGAAATGGTGAAAGTATCGCAATAATTTATTCGTAAACGGTTTCCAAACTTGGCGCAACGGGAGTCGTGCTAGATCTCCAAAATGATGTTCGAATTCTCATGCGCGTCGAATCGATCAGAAACTAGATGCACGACTTAATGCAAAAGAAAATTATGTAGTAATCAACGATTGAGAGATTGAGGCGCAAACACTATTGCTGTGATTCGCGTTGATGATTTTCTGGAGGGAAGGTCGCGTTTCGCTTGCTATGCTAAAGCTCAAGATGGAGCCAAAAACCAAAAAGCCAAGACTAGAATAATTCACGTGATGACAAACCAATCAAGGCAAAGTTAACACCTTAAATTAGTAAGGCTCGGGCTGTTAAAGTGTCAGGCACACAAAATATGACCCTCGGCTTGAAGCGGCACGACTCCGATGGTGGAAGGAAAACATGGGGTAGTTATCTACGATAAGTAGTATAAGAGTAAAAAGATATTAATTTTAATAGTATAAGAGTAATTTATTGGACTTTTAGTAGTACGAGAGTAATTTACTATAGACTAAATTAGGAAATTCTAAAACTAACAATATTGTACATTATTGCTTCAACTTCTCGGTGAGCTCTGGGACCTTGTCGAACAGATCTCCAACCAGTCCAACATCGGCGACTTGGAAAATCGGGGCATCAGCGTCTTTGTTGATTGCTGCAATGACCTTACTATCCTTCATTCCTGCCAGATGTTGAATAGCACCAGAGATGCCTGCACATAAGTACAACTGTGGCGCTACAACTTTTCCTGTTTGACCGACCTGTAAGCTGTTGTCGGCGTATCCACTGTCTACAGCTGCTCTTGACGCTCCAATGGCTGCCCCCAAAGCATCTGCCAAAGGCAGCATTATTCTGTCAAACTCCTCCTTTGATTTCAAGCCTCGACCGCCAGATACGACTTTACCCGCAGTGGCGAGATCTGGTCTATCTGATTTTGCTAGATCTTCTGATACCCATTCGGTCTGCGATTCAATCTTAGGGTCTACCCCCTCCTCAATTGATGCCGAGCCACCCTCAGCCGCCGCTGCTGCAAAAGCTGTTCCTCTGATGGTAATGATTTTGATTTCGTCTGAAGATTCGACAGTGGCAATTGCATTACCAGCATATATTGGTCTAACGAAGGTGTTCTCATTTTCAATTCCTGTAATATCCGATACTTGTTGAACATCGAGTAGTGCGGCAACGCGGGGCATAAGATTCTTTCCAAAAGCTGTGTGTCCGGCAATGATGTGTGTAAAGCCACCCTTCTTAATATTTTCTACTAATAAAGGAGCATAGTTTTCTGGCAGACCCTATAACAAAATTATCAAAATCTGCTGATCGGTGGAACCGGTCGTGAGCAAATAGGTCTCCTTACCTTGTCATATGCAGAATTGTCTACAGCAATAACCTTTTCAATTCCTGCAACTTTAGCTGCTTCTTCGACTACAGATTTTATGTTTCTTCCCGCAATAAACGCCGTTATTGACCCTCCTAGCTTTTGTGCTGCGGTGACTGCCCCAAGTGATCCATGATTAAGTTTACCCTCCCGTTGTTCTAGGACGGCAAGTGATGATAATAGTCTTGCGAGTGCCGAGAGGGAAGCTACTGGTGTAGGGCCAGCTTGTGTTCGTAATTGAGTCCGCGCTTGGCGTAAAATAGAGTGGCCGGCTCGTGAAAGCATTGTTATGAAATTGGGAGGAACAAAATGTTTCGGAGCGTAGCGGAAAGAACTTAGAAGTCGGATTTTACGGAATTTTTTTGTGTAATGGATTCGTAGAAGCAAACATGTGGTGGAATCAGTTGATTGAAAGGAGGTACATTTGGAGGTGTATTTGGCGGGGTGCATTTAAAGGTGCATTTGTAAGCAATTTGTAAGCAAGAGGCACAGATCTAATGGATACATCAGGCGTTTCTTAATATTAGAATCTAAATTAGAATTTATAATGAGAAACTAAATAAGAAATTATTTCACTATTCTACTATTCTACTATTATATTATTCTATAATCTATAATAAAAAGATAGTATTTTATAATTAGAAAATTAAGTACTCTAATAAATTATTAGAATTAATTTCGTAGTATTATATAATACAATAATTTTTATAATATATATATTTATTATTTGAATATATTTTATTGAAAATTATATTTAGAATCCTAGAATCTATATATTTATAGTTAGATTTTATTATAGAATTTAGCTTGTATAGATTAGAATATAAATGATATAAAAGTAATTTATTAAGATTATTGTAGATTATAAGCTAGTATATGAGTATATGGTATATATAGTATATAAGAGAGATTAGACTAGTATTAGTCTATTATAAGAAACTGGCTCGTATTAACAACTAAATAGCTTATGAAATATATGATTTTCATGAAACAGTATATAATATTCCTTTTTTCTTATTCTATATTCGAGGGGGAAAGGCCTTATTTTATGCTTTTTCCTATCAATCTAGCTTTCCACCATCGTAGATCTCTTCCTTTTCCGGCCATTCCATTAGATACAGCTCTTCTTTCTTATTCCTTATTCGATTTCACTAGGGTTACGTCAACCTAGCTACGTATGAGTTGAAAGAGCTAATAAAGAATCGGTTTTCCGGCCGTTCTAGGCTAAGGGCCTCAAGCGACGATCACGTGATATGACCATGTGACTTGGTCAGGTGACTTGGTCAGGTGATCCTGTGATTCGCTCCCAGTATACTATAAAAAAAACACACAAAAAGCAAGAACCAAATTTTTGAAATTAAGCTATTCAAATCACATTCAGTAGCCCTCCTTTAGATCAATTGATTACTCTAAACTTGTATATATTGCTTAATATAATATAAGCGCTATAGGGATATTGTGATTTTAAATAATAGTATAATCTAATAATATTTATAAATATATTATCTTTTTTAGTAATTACTTTAGGAAAATATTTATTTATATTGAAAATATAGAAAATCAATTTATATCCAAGCTATTAATTAAGATTATAATTATAATTATAAATGTTTTTATTATTAAATTTTAAAATATTTTAAATGTTAATATAATTATATAAGCTATTATGAATATTCAGAATAATTTTAGAATAATTATAAAGATAATCAAAATTATAATAGTAATAATAGTTTAATATATAATAGATATATATTAATAAATAATAATAATAAATCAAAAAACAAATCAGATAATAAAAAAGAAGCTCTTAAGTTAAGAAAAGCACTAATATATTTTTTATAAATTTAATACATGAAAAATAACAAAGTAATAAATAATATTATAACTTAATTAATTAAGTTTTTCTTTTAAATTTTATATATATAATAGTAGGTAATAATATATATTTATTAATAAATCTATATAATTTCTATTTAAATCTTTTAATTTCTTTAAATATAATATAAATTTATTATAAACGATTATAGATATAGGAATTATAGAAAGGTTAGATAAGAAACCCCAGAATTTATACAATTATATTGATTATCTAATTGAGTAAAGCAAAAACAAATATATTGAAAGATATATAATATATTAGTTAATTAATTTAAAAATGGAAATTTTAGTATTAAGATATTAAATAGAAGAATATAAGGTCATAAAACCAATTTACAAAAATTGAATAGTTTGATTGGAAAAAGCATATCTATTCATTATTTATTTACAATATATTTGTATATAAAATCAGAATTAATTTGATGGATATAGAAAAGTTTGAAAAAATTAAAGCGTAAATTATTTATATGATAATAAAGTATTTATATTAAATACAAATATTAAATATATTTAATAATTATTTAGAATAATTTATTAAAGGGCTTTAATTATAATTGTAAATTTATTAATCTAAAGATATTAACAAAATAATTAATAAAATCTTATTAAAAGAAGAGGTATTTCATACAAAGAAATATAAATACATAATATTAATTAAAGCACTACTATAAATATTAAAAATTTAGTTATATAAAAAATCTAATATAAAATAAAATATAGTATATAGTTATTATACGAAAGTATATAACCTCAAAAGATTACCCTAATAAATCAATAAATCTATTATAAGAAATTATATAATATACAAAAAAGATATAAAGTATAAAATAAACTATATTTAGCTTGTAAAAAAGAATTAAATAAAATAAAAATAATATATAATATTAGATAACTATATTATTTTATTCTATTATCAAAAAATAAATTATTATTTAATCAAATTAATCTACATTTAATATTAATAAAATTAATAATAATAATCAATAAAAATTAAAGAGAAAGATTAGATAATATATTAATAGGATTAATTTTTTTTATATTATTATTTATATTAAGAAAACAAAATACTTGAAGTAAATCTTCTATTAAGAATAGAGTTATTAAAAAAAATTATATAGGAAATATAGTAGAAAGTATATAGAATGAAAATAAAGATACGATTATAGGGGAAATCAATTAAAGGTTATATAAACTATATATATTATTTAGAAGAATATTAAAATCAATAATAATAAATTCAATACTTAATTTTCAAGGAAATATTGAGAAATTATAAGCTATAAAAACAATTTATATATTTTATAATATAATATTATAAATTAAAAAACCTAATTATAATCATATTATTAAGAGATTAAAAATATATGAATATAATATTCTAGTATTATAAAAACTATAAAGAAACTTTATTACCCCAACTATTTATAATTCAATATCAGATATCTTTTATTTATACTTTTTAAAAGATAATAAGGGGATGTCTATTAAAGTTTGCTTTTTTATTAATAAAAGAATTAATTTTAATAACTGAATATATAAAAACTACTTTTAAAATCTTGATATATTAGAAATAATTACAAAACTATTAGATATAAATAAAATAATAAAAATTATATTATATAATATATACAATCCCTTAAATTTATTAATAAATAAAATAAACTATTTATTATTTTTTAAAACAATTTTTATAAAATATTAAA